TTTGTGACATTCTTTGATGTACTTATAGAGGGATATCATGCCCAGACCCTTTCTAATTTTTCTGCATCTTTCTTAAATGTCAGTGCCCAGAACTGGACACAGTATTCTGTGGTCTGATGAATGAGGAGTATAGGGAAACTACTACTTCTCGTGATTTGGAAGTAATACTTCTGTTAATGCATCCCAAGGCAGAAATCAGTCATGCTGGAAAATGAAAAGATTGACAAGTCTAATTAATACCATATTGGATGCAGTGACAGATTGGCTCCTGCCCACTAGAGAGACGGCGAATTTATTCAAAGTTGCCAGGAGGGAAGTGTGGTGGGCCTCGGATCTCAGGGTCCCAGCTGCAGCGTTGGAGATCAGGAAAGGAGCAGTTTTTAAATGGCAGCAGGCTCTTTTGTCTGGGCCAAGATGCCACTTTTGAGCCCTTTTTCCCAGCTAGTACCATGAGGATGTACCCCACAACCTGTTTTCAGCAACAGCCCTGAGACATGAGGTATAGAAATGCAAGTCCTGTAGTCCTGTGCAGAAGACCCTTCCTTCATGACTTAAAAATTGGCCACATATACAGGAGGTCAGAAAAAAGTTTCCAAGGCATGGTCTTCCAGACCTGGCATCTACGTAAAGACGCAGTATGCATCTCTCATATTTGCAAATGGACCAAGACATTGCATAGGAACATAGAAACCTGGACCGTCGCTCCATTAGCCTGGTATCGTAGACACTGACTGGCAACAGCCCTCCAGAGTTTCGGGGGGGGGGTGCTTTCCTAGCTGCATCTGGGGATTTGACGTGGATCTTCTGCATGCAATGAAACGTGCTGTACACCAAGCTGCCTCCCTCCCCAGAGAATGTGTGTCATGCATCTGCAGAGAACGAGTAGCTTAACTCATCGTGAAGCTCAGAGGATAAGTATGTGAGAACCCGGCCTGGAAGATCAGACCAGGAATCCATTTGGTCCAGTGTTTTGTCTCCAGCAGCAACCAAAAGCTGGCCTCTCTCCAGCACAATTTCTGTCTGCGAGCTGATGCGGAAGGCAAGGGCTGTAAATCAATTTAAGCATCTCTAAGCAGGAGGTAATTTGTACTGTTAGTATTCCATCATTGATAATTGAGTTACTTGGCTGTGGAAATGTAGGCCGAATTGCTATTTAACCTTGGGCGTACAGGAAAGTCCACTTCTGACCGCAATTTAGCAAGCAACCTCTCTAGTACAGGTCTGAACAATAATTGTGGGGCACTATTTTCTAAGCACTGCTGCTTTGGCTAGCGTTACAGCTGCGTGCACTGTAATTAATGTCAGTGGACGGTCAGGAGAGCAAAGCCTTTGAGCCTTACCTGCTTAACAAGCATCCTTTCAGTTGTCTCTACCAGCAGCCGCGGCAGCAGCAGCCTGCACAACAGGGAGAGGAGAGGGAGGCAGGGCCATTCTCCAGTCCCCGCTGGAGGATTAATTAATTTTTCCACTCTCCCCTTCCCATCCCTTTTTCCTTGAGTGTCATTTTAGATTGCCAAGCCTGCAGGCAGGACTGTCTTGTTTTACGGAGTGCGTGCAAGCCATTCCAGAAGCCTTTTTTGGCTGAAGAGCAGGATAAAAATACTTTAAATAAGGACTATAATAATGTATAGTACGTTCTACCACCTTACATTGTTCTTTCAAGTAGCAGCTACAGTGGCTCTTTTTTTTTATTCTTTACTGTTATGGGATGGCGATTTTTATGTGAAAGTCCCCCTTTGCTGCAAAACCTGGGGAGGGAAAGAAATAACCTTATAGCTTAACCTTTTAAACTCTGGATAAAGCGCAGTGGTTTGAATAGCGCTGTTTTCTCATGAGCTGCCAAAAGAGAGATCCTTATCTTGTGGAAGCCTCCGGGTATAAATATATTCATTGAACTTGGCATCCATTCTCTTTATTGGCTAGAGAAAGAAAAAGGAACAGTCTACCCCAGAGAGAGCTTTCTTTTTAGTTTTTATAAAGGCACCCAAGGATAACAAAGGATTGGATCCCTATTTTGGAGGTCGATATTCAAAGGAGTAGGTCCTGCCATTTAGGAAACAAAAGAGTCCATCACACAACAAAGGATAAAAATGATCAAATGGTTAGCCAGAGGCTAAAATAAATGCATGGGAAAGAGTGACACATTGTATATTAGCAGGAAATCTGATCTGCAAATTAGTTGAAGGTTGTTGGGTCTTTTTAGCTGATGTGACTTTTAAAAAAAATGTCCAGGAGATAAATGGCTGATCTGTCAATTCCAGATGCACATGATGTGGCTGGAAATGAGAGGAAAATGTTCGGCTATGATACAGAGGAAGTTTCAGTTTCTTTGCTAAGTTTTTTTTAAAATTCCTCTTTGCCTTTGTTGACATCTATAGGTCACCGTCAGAAAATGTAGTGTCTTTATTACTGTCCTGTAGCCATACTGGTGGTTTTCAAATTACGTGCTCTTATAACACTCCATCAAATTTCCTTTTAAAAAACAGGAATAAAATTGGAGACACCAAATAAAATGTCTCCCCAAGCCTTAGTCAACCAGGAAGGCGAGCTCCAATTGGAAAAACCTGAGTGTCTCAATACAAAGAAGTGAATGTTTCCTTATTTAGTGACCTCACAACTGTTTTTAATTTAACCTTGCTGTAGGTACATGCCACTCTGGATTAATGCAATTCACTTTTCTTTATAGAGGCCACATTCCTTCACTCCAAAATCTGTAATCTTTAACTATTTCAGGGCTGCAATAGCTTGCAGTTCCCTTCTACTCGTTTTATTGTCCGTGATCAATAGCAAGGTGACAGAAATGCATTGGATTTTTATTTCTGTTGCACATAAAATGCTCTTTAGTGAACAAGCCGGTTGCATCTAGGGAATAACTTTCCAGTTATTTAAAATGCTATAGTTTTTCAGAGAAAATCAAATATCAGTTTGCGCTACTAAATGAGGCTCTACATCCAACACGCATGGACATATTTTGCAAAACTCAGTGTTGTTAATGTGCTAATGGGTGCCCATAAGCAGAAAGGGGCTCCCAGCAACTCCCCCCTCCCATGGTGGAAACTACGCCACCCAATGCTGCAACATTCGTGTTCTGTTCCTCTCCCAGGAATAAACAGCATCGTTCCATTGATACCAGAGAATGTGAATGAAGGAGTTCCAGGTTCCCCAGTCTTGCCCTCCAGTTGTCCTGTCACGCCCAGACAGGGAGTCCATGGCTTATCCCATATCTAGTGAACCCGTTTCTTGGAGAGTGGGGCTCAGTGTAAGTCAGGTTATTTTGCTCCATGGGGAGCAGCTAAACTTGAGCTGCCCCAGTGTGTCTGGATAGATTACTGTATGTGCCGTAATGGCAAGAAGGTGGAATGGGCTGCTGGCCATGGGAATTTGTAGAGGTACCTAGATTCCCCAGGTTGGTTTGTTTAAAAGATGCTTGCATATTTAAGGATTTGGACTTATTTCACAATTTGTAGTAAGTCAGCATTTCAGAATGGGTCTGGCTTGTGGGCTGGGCCCGTTTCCAGAAGCTCCAGGAGAGGTGGAAATGGGAGCCGGAGAGTGGCAAGATGGTCCACCAGTCTGTTCTGGGAGGGTTTCTATCCTATTTTTATTTATTCATTCATTTTTCGATTTATATCCTGCCTTTTTCCTACAAAGGGCTCAAGGCAGCTTATATCATTCTCCTCCTCCATCTTATCCCCACAACTCGCCTGTGAGGTAGGTTGGGCTGAGAGTCTGTGACTGGACCAAAGTCACCCAGTTGGCTCCATGGCTGAGCGGGGACTCGAACCCAGATGCTCTGAGTCCCAGCCCCAGGCTCTTAACCACCACACCAGGACTCTGCTGTGTTCCCTCTTTTTGAGGGTAGACGTCCATATAGTTCATCTCAGGTTAACGCATCCTAGGGTTGTATCCAGTTCCACCCAGTCCTCCAGTTATGAATGTCCAAGTTAAGAACATCCTACTTTTGAATAAGCAAACCCGGAAGACCTGCCTCATCCTCCAGTGGCAAACGGGTGCCCACAAGCACCAGGCGGTGAGGGGAGGGAGGGAGAGAAGGTGAAAGGAAAAGGCAGCGAGCGGCCAAGTCAGAACTAGTTCCATGGCGATGGCAGAACTACAGTGTTTTTCATGCTCATGAAAAACTAGCGTATTCAAGCCAGTGTGTTTCAGATCACGTGGAGTGTTTCCTTCTGTAGCTTCGTACTGTATTTTGTTTGTAATCATGCTTCTAAAGCATAAATCCAATGCAAGTATAGGTGAGGCATCAAGAAAAAAACAGTCACAATTGAAACTAAGTGGAAATAATGAAGCGATCAGAGAAAGGTGAGGCACCGTTGACCTTTGGGAAAGCATTAGGCTATAGTGGTTCAACAATCAGATTCTCTTCAGCACCTGTAGTTACTTTATTATTGCTGTATTATTATCATTATTAAAATGCTGTATTGTGTTTAAGATGTTGTAGTATACGGAAGTATTAAGTGTTTTATATGCTTTTTATATACATGATCTAACTCAGACTGACATATGAGTTCAACTTAAAGATGATCTCAGGAATAGAACCCGTTCTTAACCTGGGACCAGGTGTAGTCCTGTATGGAGTAGATCCACTGAAATGAATGAGACTTAAATTGGTCCCAGCTGCCTTCCATCTTACTCATTTCTGCATGGAACTAATGGGATATTACCCATGCTTTTGCGACTGTTCATGTCTTGCTCACTTTTCAATTTAGCTTCCCCCTGGGCGCTTGAGCCATTCTATGTTTTCTTCATCTCAAGTCCCATTAATAATCATGGCCTCGCTGCACCAGTTATCAACCATATCTACATAATGTGTTTGTACCTCTGAACAGAAAAGTTCTGCTCTGAGGTCCATGCAATGGGCATAGGGAGTTTTTTATGATTTGCGGCACTGTCAAATGAGACTGAGACTTTTTTCTCCCCAGACCACCCAGTTCTAAAAGTGCCAGTTGCAGTTTGATTAATGTGCTGTTCTGTCTTTGCAGCCATGTCATCTTATCTGTTCATTATTAAGTCTGAACTTCCTGGAGCCATTGCAGGACTTCTGAATGGAGACCATAGTGGGTAAGGAGAAAAATCACCCCACAGGGAGAAGTATGGGCCTTTCTTCTACTGTCTAGGGATTGGTATGTCTCATTGTTCTCCAAATGAGAAGGACACAGAAGAATCATAGAATATTAAAGTTTGAAGGGGCCATGAAGGCCATCAGGTCCAACCCCCTACTGTTGCAGGACTCAATTTACATCATCTTATCAGATGACTGTCCAGTTTCTTTTTGAATGTCTCCAGTGTGGGAGCGCTCACCACTTCTCTAGGCAGCTGGTTCCACTGTTGTATTGCTCTGACAGTGAGAAAACCTTTCCTGATATCTAGCCTGAATCTGGGTTGTTGCAACATGAGTTGGTTATTCCATGTCCTACCCTCTGGTATCAGTGAGAAGAGATAGAAACACAGAAACAGAGTGAGTCAGAAGAGGTCTCCTGGGCCATCTAGTCTGACCCCCAGCTCCAGCTGGCTCCACTCACGACATGCCCACCATGTGCATGTCCAGCCTATCCTGGAGCACCCTCACCGATGGGGCCTCAATCACCTCTCGTGGAAGCCCATTCCATACCCTCGGGGTCCTAACTGTCAGGAAGTGCTTCCTGGCATCCAAATGTAACCTTGGTTCCTTGAACTTGGCTCGGTTGGAGCGTGTCCTGCCTTCCTCTGCAGGGGAGAACAGGTCTCTACCCATCTCCGTGTGACATCCCCTCACATACCTGTCTGTCGCTAACAGGTCCCCTCTGAGTCTCCTCCTCTCAAGGCTGAGAAGACCCAGCTCCCTCAGGCTCTCCTCAGACGGCTTTCCCTGCAAACCAGCCACCATCCTTGTGGCCCTTTGCTGCATCAGTTCCAACCTGGCTATATCCTTCCTGTAATGTCGAGCCCAGAACTAAACACAATGCTCCTTTTTGTTGTTCCTGATATTCTTTGCAAGCCTCAACTTATAATCAGGCTTAGCCTTGTGAAGAATCCTTCTGCAACGACCCTCCTCCCCCAGGTATGCCCTTTTGTCTGCTTGCCCCAGGGCCCATTTCTTACAGAGGTTCCTCATGTCTAATTCGTCTTACCACCTCTTTTCGCATCCACGGTGGTGCTCTCCTTCACCTCCCCACCTTGCTAACTAGCAGTATCTTTCTCCTTGTGAGACCCTCTGAGGTACTTATAAAAGGATGTCATGTCCCCCCTCAGTCTTCTCCTCTCAAGGCTGAACATGCCCAGTTCCCTCAGTCTCTCCTCACAGGGCAGTGTCTCCAAACCCTGGATCATTTTTGTTGCCCTCTGCTGGAGCCTTTCTAATTTACCTGCATCTTTCTTAAATCTTGGTGCCCAAAACTGGACACAGTATTCCAGGTGAGGTCTGACTACTGAAGAGTATAGGGGAAGTACTACTTCTCGTGCTTTGGAAGCAATACTTTATTTTTATTTATTTATTTGTTTAGAAGTTTTGTATGCTGTCCCATCACATAGTCTCGGGACGGCTTGCATAAAATAAACACCATACAAATAATACAAATAACATCCAGATTCACCCTTTTTGAGATGCATTAATACTTCCATTATTGCATCTCAAAATAGCATTTGCCTTTTCTGTAGCTGCATTGCATTGTTGGCTCATATTTAGCCTGTTGTCCACAATTACTCCGAGGTCTTTTTCTGTTGAGCCACGTATTCCCCATCTTGTATGGATACATTTAGTTTCTCTTTCCTAGGTGGAGGACTTGGCTCTTGTTCCCATTGAATCTCATTCTGTTGCTTTCAGCCCAGTGTTCAAGTTTATCAGGATCACCCTGGATCTTCAGTCTGCCTTCTAGGGTATTTGCTGTTCCACCCAGTTTCACATTGTCTGCAAATTTGATTAGCTTTCTTTGTACCTCTTCATCTAGAGACCTTCAGATGCCTCCCCCTGAGCACACCCGTTTGCAGTAACCGTTTGCCAGAGCAGTTCCTTGCTGACTGAGCTCAGAGTGATTAATAGAAGCCACCCAATCATCACTTCCTCTCAGCATATTTATATCTGCAGCCAACACAGAAATAGTTGTTTCTTATTTGTGCCAGATGAGGAATTCTTAGGGCCAGCTGACACAATCAGCACAAGGGAGGGGCAGTGTGTATGCTTTTTCCTGGACGTGACCATTTCAGGCTGCAAACGGAAGAAGGAGGCTACATGTGTGAATCCCACGTGATGTGCGGTACACCACAACCATGGTGGGAGGCCCAGCTTGGTTTGTGCCAGGCTGGCTTGTCATGATGTGTGAACCCACCACAGTTTCATCCAGGTAGCTGGACTTGTTGCTGGGTTGTTGCTTATTCGTGAACCCAGCACAAAAGCTCGTCCCGAGCACTTAAAAGCATGCGTGTCCCCCACTGTGTCACTAGGGCTGCCTCCCTCATTGGTACTGGCTGCCCCTTTACTAATGCAGTGATGACATGTTTTAAAAATTATTTTTCAGTGCTTCAGAAGCACACAAATGGCTTTCCGTGTTTTCTTTTGTCTGGAAGTGTGCAACTCCTTCCACGGTACAGAGCAGTATCCCCTCTGTGCAGCTTGAAATGCTGTTTGTCAGTTTCTCCCTTTCTCTCTATCAAATCTTGAACTGACCCTTGCTCAATTTCCTCCCACACTTTGGCTCTTCCCTGAACCCCCGACCCGAAAAGCAGTGACTGAACAGGATGGATCTTTCGGGTTAATTAAGGCAGGGGTACGGGCATACTTGCTGCGGAAACGGTTCATTTAAAAATTATTTATTTATTTTGTCATGCACAAGTGTGTATGTGTGAACTAGCTCACACTTACATCCATAAAACGCCCCTGCACATAGAAAATCGGCATATTAAGTTGAAGGCTATGCTAATGTGCTCCATTTCCATGTAGGCTTCTTAATATAGAGAATCTTTCAAACAAGGATGTGCTCTCTGAAGTCGTATAGCAACTGATTCACTGTACTTCGGGCTAAGCAGCACTTCAGTAAGCTGCACTTAGATTTGGACTGGAAGACCAGCTTTCCTAGGAATACATCCACAAGTTTCCCCACAAAATTTGATAGGAATCTGTTGACCGCCCCCCTCCCACAACTGGAAAATGGGATTTTTCAACTCATGGACTGATGCTGCCTTACCCAACTATAGTTTAGTCAATTGTAGGACTCCTTTTAAAAGCAAATAAGGAGATTCTTTGGTCTTGCAGAATCACCCCAAGTTCCATTTTATTTCTTTGTACCTGTCTGCTTTCTTCACAAGGTGACTTCACCGGATAATTTCCACACAGAGTATGTTTGGCTTGAATGTGTTTCCACATGGCAGATCCAGTTTTACTTCTTTCAGATGAATTTTAGTTTCCAGCCAGTTTCTGTCGCTGTCAGAGTCACCTTGTGCCAAAGAAACCACATAAAACATGAGAATCAGGCAAACGACTGAGCTTGAAACATTTAAACCACTGCTGTCGTGTTACCATGTTAACATATTTTTTAAACCCACAAAGCAAAATCTGGCAGTTACTGAAATCTTAAATATTTTTGTTTTCGCTGAGTAGTTATTGGAATAGGCTTTGGGAGTAGTGCCAGTTTTCATATTTGTTTTACAGTTCCTCCAATTTGGCCATGTAGGCTGTTGTTCACTTTGCCCATAGAACTGACTCAAAACCAAGAAGTAAAAAAGGAAAGCTTACTGAGAAAACCGTCCCAGCACTGGAATAGCTTGTTCTGTTTTTGAACAGATTGCAGTGGTCCCAGCTTCTGCAATTAAATAACTTGAGGCTACCTGTTCACTGCCTTTCCAATCTTCTGGTTTCAGTGAATTCAAACTCTTAAGATACAGTCTTGAACTGCATGATATGGCACAGTTTCCGTAGGCTTTTAAAAGGTGTTTTTTATGCAGAGGGACTTCTCGGTTTTAAGAGCTCTCTGCATTTGACCGGGCTGCCTGCCTGCCATGCTGGGCTTTGAGGGCTTCTTCTCAGAGCCAGGCTTTCTAGCCAGTGCAGCCCTTCGGAGAGCCCATCGGCCCCCTGAATCGCACTCCGAGGATCCTCTCCGGAAGCCAGGGGGCCAGTGGTGGCGAGGAGCGCAGTGGCAACAGAGTCGGGGCTGAGGTTGCAGTGCAGCACGGAGCAGCTGAGAGGAAGGGCACATGTGCTTTCCTACCAAAGCTATTGGAAAAGGTGGTGCCTGGGCTGCCCACGCCTCTGCCAGCACAGAGCTGGGAAAAACGTCAGTGGGAGAGAACGACTTGTCCTCAGGGAGCGCTTCCCTGGCATTGTGTTGAGGCGGAGGCTAGTCCATCGGGGCTTCTGAGAAAGGTGGTCTTGCTACATCTGCATTAGGGGAGACTTTTCAGTGCAGAGGAGAAACGCATTTGGAAAAGAGATACAGCAGGGAGCCTCGCTGATAAGAAGTCCTTTCAACTTAGGGCAGCTTTAATTACTGAATTAATGTTTCCCTTGCGTCATCCCATTCGGGAGATACTGCTCTGCTTTGCATGGGGATCTGGAGATTGTGCTTGGATTGGCCGTGGTTTTATTACCTCCCCACTCCCACACTCTTGGTTGGCAGCTTGATGTACTGGGATGGGCCTTAATCTAGAGATTTAATGCATATGCAAAATTTTGCAGTCATTTTTCATGCCTGTGGAGCAAGAGCCAAGCCACCAAGGTCTGAGCATCAACCCATCCCGAGGCCCCAATAGCTGCGCCAGATTCACGAAGGTCATCCTCCTGAGCCAGAACGTGTGTTGCTGCATAATAAACTCTTTATTGGGAAGTCATCTGCAGTTGATAATCTCACGTGCCAAGGAAAACACGTGGCCAGAGACGACGTTCAGGTCCTTATAAAAACAGTTACCAAAAAAAGCAAAAAGAAAAGGGGGGAAAAGCCAAACCAAAACAACGTAGAAAATTCTAGAAGCCAAATGATTAACCCTCTCGTAAACTTCATATGAACTAGCCAGCATGTTTTAAAGAGGATCTGTTTTATTTATGGCCTGTTTTAAAAGAACTGGTTTGAGAAGGCAGCCCTCACCTTGGA